TGGGATTCAAGTAGGAAGGGAGCGTCTCAGCTTCCTCGGACCACGACCATTCGACTCAGCACCCCGAAGACTACAACTGGTGAAATTTTAATTTTTGCCTTAACTTCCCCTTTAACAGTGAACATAATAATTATCTCCACTGACAGACTGTAGCGGCGAGCCTCCAATAGGTAGCTGGCACTAGTCGCTACTGCTTGTTTGACAGGTGCCGCCAGAACCCCTGTTGTGTCATGCTATAGATGCACATGCCCTATTCTGGGGCATACTGAGGTACTTTGATTTTGTTGACCGCATGTTTTTTTTTTCTTTTTTTCTACAAAATCCACATATCTCCAGACACTGGGGTGAATGATGGAGTGTGGTGGTGGGGCCCATTAAGCTCCGCCGACCAGAGGTCTCGGCTTCATAGCTCCATGGACGCACCAAAGGGATATTGGGTGGGGAGGATTAAATTGAAAAAGAAAACAGAAGAAAGAAAATGGAAAGATTGTATTGCTCAGTGAGCAAAAGAAAAAGTTGAGTATTGATGTGAACGCTGTTAGACTTTTAAATTCAAGAGGAGACTGCCCGTGAGGAGAGATTACATGTATGTCCAAGCAGGGTAGGACACTGTACCCTCTTACTCGCGTATGCTATGAGTGGCCCAGTGCCAGTTCGTTCTGAGGAGATGGTGATAAGCTGCTGTCTTGAACTTTTGGATGTTCTTTGGGTGAAATGGGTGGGGAATGATAGAGGTAGGCAGCTGGTTCCAAATTGGGATGACGGAGTGGGGAAAGGCTCGGCTCACATTGTTCCGGGAATTGGCAGGAAGAACATTCTGTAACTGATGGGGATGCGCGGTGGACAGTCGTACAGCCTGGCGGGTGAGGCGTGTGGTCCTGGGTTGGTGTGTCGGGGGATGTAGACTAGTGTTGAAACGAGCGTATCTATAACAAACGAGCGATCTGTTCCACTAACGAGCAAGCTATCGAGCGAGCTAACGAGTTTCATTGATGTGGCAAATATGATTTTTTGACTATTTTTTTTCTAAGTTCGATTTTTTCAGCTGGTTCAAATTATCACCGCCGGCATTTGGGGTTGCTGCTGCTTCACTTCGGACTGCTGTTTGGTGTCGAGATGTCTTTTCAGCGCCGTCGTCGAGTAGCCTTGGTAAGAATAGACCGTTTTGCAAAGATTGCAAGTAGCCCTGTTCTTCGCTGCATCGCGGGAGAAAACTTCCAAACGACTGAGCGTAACTATTTTACTTTCACTCGAATGGAGAGGTGACCGAAGCATATCCTGCGACAGGTCAGCAGATGCGGAACAAGACATCAGTAAAGTCCACCAAAGCTGCAACGACAACTGAAACAACTCAAGTGTCGTGCAGGCATACAGTCACTGTAACTGCGAGTGATTTTCACTTTGCGCGGGACTGGACTCTCGATCGACCAGGGAGTCGTAAAATATTTTCCGACTCCCCGGTCGACATGTTTTTTTTTTTTTTTTTTTTTTTAAGTTGTACTGTCATGTGTACGGAGTACCTTGTATGGTGTTTGTTAGTGCAAACGAGCTGGCCGCACAAACGAGCCGAGTTTCTGGCGAGCGAGCTAACGAGTATCCCGTGAGATCGTTTCAACACTAATGTAGACAGCATCCAATAGTAGTACTCGTAGACCTTGGCTCTTTGTAGGTCAACCACCATCGCATGGATCGATCGGTGACTATGCACTTGGAGGTTGGAATAGCCCGCGCTGAACAGATCTTGCCATGGCCCAGGGAGTGAACTCGCTTACTCGACTATCCCGGCTTTAGTTAACCAGCATGAGTGGTGCAATTTGTCCACACCATGTTGCGAGCTCACAGTTGTTTGGGCAGGTTTTGAGCTGCACCACGAAACAAAGCGAAATAACGGCGTGACTGTAGAGCAAGGAAGCGGCGAGACAGCACTTCCAGTACGAGACAGGCAGTAGAGATGTGTTCACAGCAGGAGCAACCTCTCAAACCCTGCCGGTACTCCACAGTTACAAGAAAATGTAAAAAACAGTTACAAAAAAATGCCAATGCAAACCTGCTACATCCACCCAGGCAGATTGCTGCCAAACCAGGCCAATGTCGACCCAGTGACTGCATACCGGTATGTCAATGTCCAACAGATCCTGCAGGAGAAGACGGGGATGATATTGGCGTCCAGTGTACGGACACCAGTCACATTTCCTGCGTCTTTTGCAGCATACAGGATAGACTCATCACTGTAAAGTCCACTACTTCGTGATTTTTATTTGTAGAATACATGACAGGCATATTCAGTGTGCCTCGCAGGACTGCGAGATGCTGCAGAAGACCAGGTTCGACCTTTCTGGACCGCCATTCACCGACGGTGGGCTACACGATGCTGGAGGAACTAGATTCCAGTGAAAACCCAAGATTCCTTTGCTCCTGGACGCTCCGACGTGTTGTGATATCTGCCAGGTGCGCAGTAACTAGTATTTTCATCGTTATCGAGGACGACGCCGATCGGCAAACTCTCGCTCACAGCCATCACCAGCCTCTCAAAACCATCACTTGGCATCCCCCAGAGGTATAAGAGAAAGCCAAAACAGCTCTCAACAAACAAAAGCTAAGGACGATGGAAAGAGAGCATGTCAAAAAGAAGACGAACAGTATGAAGTTCAAATGGGTTTGAACCAGGGAGTCGTAAAAGCCCGGCTTTTACGACTCCCTGCCACCAACTATACCACTTTCAATAAATCGTGACGCCATTTTGTTTTTAAAACACGCATACGGTCCATTGCTTCTCTGTACCGAAAATTTCTAAACCAGCCTGTTGCCCTCATACCGAAAAATGATATTGAGCACAGAAAATTTCTACGCACCTACAGTTGTACTTGTAGGCTGTACTCGTACCTAGTACCTAGCTGTAGCTGTACACTGTGTGTACAGGCCATGGCCGGCCAATGATTAGGCTTTTCCACATTATGTTTTGCATAATTTTTGCATCTTGGGGGTAAAAATGAATCCCCGTTGTAAAAATGCATCTTTCGTGATTTTTGCCAGATTTTCTTCAAAAACAACAACGTTTGGGTGGTTTTTGCCAGATTTTCTTCAAAAATAACAAATTTGGCGTGATTTTTGCCAGATTTTCTTAAAAAACAAAGTTTTGCAAGTGTTAGCTAAACTTTAGCCTAGGGCTACAGGGTTTTTTCTTCTGCTGGCAAGACTTGAGCTTGCCCCACACCTGACGTAACCTGACTCTTGAGTCTTGTCAGTCTCGAAATATGCCCGGCACTACGATGGAGCCGGCAGGCGGCGCGGCAGTGCATGATGCTGTCAAAAGGCCTGTGTGTGGGGATTGCCCTATATTATTATATTGTTATTATTAAAAGCATGTCCGCGTAGGTGGCGGGGGTGCCACTTTCGCTTATGCCATTCAGGATTGATGTCTGAAGAGTAATACGATACAATGAAATGACAGAAGTGACGTCAACAAAAGCCGTTAGCAACAACACAAATATGACTAATGGAAAACTTCATCCAAAGTATAAAATAAAAATATGCATACAACATGTCTGGTCAGTCCTGTTAGGTGGGGCGGGCTCCACGCCATGCCTGTCGGTCCGCTGCCATTGTGCGGACTGCGTCAACATCTAGCGGCTGGTGGAGGGTAAGTCCATGCCATGATAACAGTTCCGTCTGTAAGACCGTTACCAAAGTCGTCCGAGGTCGACCCCTGAAGCGTTCAGTGCCCTCGTCGTTGGCCAGGCGAAGATACATATCCTTCCTCCAAGAAAGTGAGCTCCGAATGATCCGTATACTGTTGACTGAAACCTGGCTTGAACCTCGTGTGAAAGGTGCATCGAAAAGCTCCTTCAAGACAAATATCGGAGTCCCTCAAGGGGACAGTCAGTAGTAGTGACCGAGCGGGTCCTGGGACAAGGGTTGAACCCACTTGACCTTATGAATGGGTACTTGAACTTTGCGGTTGTTAATTAAGTGGCCACTTGACCTTTTAATTGGATAAGTGGTAATGAAGTGGCCACTTGAGATCTGAAGTGGTTTTGAAGTGGGCCAGGTGTCATATTTAATTGGATTAATGACTAAGTGGTGTTTGAAGTGCCTCTCGGCGTCATAATTGCTTTTAAAGTGGTGGGTGTGGTTGTTAATAAGAGTCACTGTCTGGGAATGTGTTCTGGAAACTTCTAGGTATTCCCAGGATTGATATATGATGCAGCGTTTACTGGAAAATGTGATCAGTTAGCATCATGGATATTGAAGAGCAATTTGAAATACTGCGTGCGTACAAGGAGCGTCAACGCGCCGTCGTTGAGCATGACGATGACCCTTGTCCTGATGCCCCTCCTCCTAGTCCAAACATTGACAAATGTTTTCATAATCATCAAGTTGTGAACGAGGGGCACTTTGTGTGTACTGTATGCGGACTTGTTCTTGATAGCGTGCTGTTGCCGGAGGTGAATTTTACAGAGAGATGCATTCTCCCACGGCTATATGCGGCTCGGGAGCGATTGACTGCCGTCGACAGACATCTGGTACGCTTCATGCAGAAGACCGGTGTCCTGCTGAACCTTCACGGTGTGCTGGAACCGTTGCAGTACATGAAGAAGGAGAGTGGCTACAAGAGCCTGAACTATGCCATAGCTCTGACATGCATCTGTGCTGAGCACGACGAGATTTGCCAGAAGCTTCAGCCATATCTTCCAAAGAGCCATGTGGCGTGGGCACGATCCAGCAAGCTAATGAGTTGCAAACCGCAGCAATTTTCGAAAGCCTGGCTCCGCCAACTTCTAATCCGTACAAAACCTCTTACCCCTTTTCAGCTGAAGAAGTTTAAGCAGAATATCCGAGAGTTTAATTCTGAGGAGAAGGAACTGATGCAAAGACTAATCCAATCTTACGGGTGCTGTGAACCTCGTGTGGAATTAATTCCTGCGGAGACGAAATGTGCGCTGTACCGTTTCTCAAGTGCCATGTGTAGGGCGAGGAAGATGATGATGAAGGGTACCGTTGCCGCTGTATAAAACCCCTGACATCTTAATTTTCCATCATTTCGCAAAGCATCCTTGCCAAGTCACAAGTAATTGTTGTTGTTGTCTTCATCCTTGCTATTACTTTGGTGAAGAAGAAGAAGAAGAAGAAGAAGAAGAACAACAACAACAACAACAACAACAACAACAACAAGAAGATCATGAACATGTGGTCTATTTTGAAAGATCATGGTGAGGACGGCCATTGTACAATGGGTGCGCTGATGCGTTGTGCTGCGCGGTTAGGAATCGCAACCTCGCTGACAAACCTGGTGGAACCTTTCAATGGAGACCATGGATATGATCAAGCAGTTGTTGAAAGTCACCCCATAACCAACTTGATCTGGATTGCTGCCAAGGACATGGCTTGCTGCGGGCGGAAAGAACTACTTGATGTAGTGAAGCTGCTGTTTCCAGTTGATCCAACCCCTGATGGAAGTACGCCTAGTACTGCTACTGGCAAGTCGGACATTGCTCAACGCCACCTCATGAAGAACCTATCCTGCGTGTTCAAGAAGGTGAAGAGCACCCCTTCCAGTAACAACATTAGTATGATCATCGTGTTGGTTGCACTGCTCATTCTCTTGTGTGAAGAAGTGTCGCTGAGAGGATACGATCATGAGCTGCACTGCACTCTAGTTGAGTTCTTCGATCAAGAACTGCATGCTATTGACGTGGTGCACTACAAGCGTTGTCAGCAAACTCAGTCAACATTCACGAATTGTGGAATTCCACAAATGCTCACATTGATTACTATTATGTCTATCCTTGCCTCCCTCACTTTGAGCTATATTATTTGACATGTAGACACACACACACACACACACACACACACACACACACACACACACACACACACACACACACACACACACTCAAATCATCATCATCATCATAATACATGACGTTATTCATTAAAAATGTTTTATTATAATTTATCAATACACTTGGTAAAGAAAACGGAATGAATCATAAATGTTGTAGTTTCTGTACACGCCTGTGATGGTATTGTCCATTCTCAGTACGGCTTGATTGGCATGGAGTGGGTTGGAAGTGAATGACAGCGTGCACTTGTTCTTCCTGGGTGTTTGACAGTGTGACATCCAGTAGCGTATCTCCTTTGTCCCGCGCTCTGCAGCATCTGCAGGGTATCCAACTAGAATGTATAACCCAAGTGGCACATGGTACCGGCATCCACATTTTTCCAAATGGGAATTCAGTGAGCACCAGTTCTGTGTTTGCTTGAGTCTCCGGGAGTGTTCCGCTAACAGTGTGTTCTTCTAAAGCGAAAGTTTGTCGTATCAGTGTTCTTCTTAACGAGGTTTCACTGTACATAGATGCAAAAAGACACACATAGGTGGTCTTTATATTACATTGTCTATTCCTTGATACATTGACACGTCTGTGTATTGCTCCCCGTTCTGATAGGTGTATGTTTTTGTTGTAATCGCCGTCACGTGAACGGTGTTGTCAGCCCTCACCTCTCTTCTTTTTACCATACATTCCTTGTAGACTTGTAGGGTTTCATTCTGTTGATGTTGTTGTTGTCCGTCTTGTTGTCGTGGAGGTGGTGGAGGTGGGCTAATTAAGTGGCCACTTGAAATGTGAAGTGGTGTTTGAAGTGCCTATCGGCGACATAAGCATTTCTTTTAAAGTGGTGGGTGTGGTGTTAGTAAGATTGACTGTCTGGGATGGTTTTTTTGAAATTGAATTATGATATTCTGGAATATTCTAGGTATTGCCAGACTACCCTTCAACCAACGAGCATCAAACAACTGGATGGGGATAAAAGTGATTGGAGCCGCCTTGATGAGTCCCATTCAACTCCTGCCTGAAGATCGTCTTCTTCTTCTTCTTCAAAACAAAGATGCAATTCAGCTGTGACTTATGTCTTAAGACTACGACCGGCCTCCAGCCGTTCGTTGACCACGTCAAATCAAAAGGACATCGGAAGAACCTGGAGGCTGGTCGTCAGCCGGTTTATAAATGTAGCTGGTAAGTGATCTGTTATACAATTATCTTTATTTGAAATACAGGAGATCTTATACATCTTGTTTTATCTTTTTCCCCCATGCAGCGATGACGAGTGGATTGATCTTGGGGCAATGAAGGATCACGTTACAACGTCCCGACACATCAACAACTACCTTCAGAGGCTTATCAACTTCTACGGGGTGTTGCCCATTAACAGCGTGACGAAGATGGCGCAAGCCCAGGCGGAGCTCCTGTGTTTATAATAAAAAGTTTAAAACCAACATATCTGTGTTAAATGTTTGTGTGAAAGGGGTCGAGTTCTCATTCAATTGCATGTTCCGAGTTGATGGGTTTGGAACGTTGAAGTTCGATGTGATCGACGTATTGGGTAGCTGCAAGTTCGTTGAACAGAGCGGTGGCAAAACATGTGACAGTTGTTTTTTGGCACGTTGTAAAAGCCCTTGACGAGATTCGAGTCGTAGAGGAAATCTACCATATTCTGCAGATTTAGATTCGATTGGTCAGTAATAATCTCCTCTATTGCCGTATTGGAGTTTTTCGATAGGCACTCGTCAGCTCCGCATTATAGTCTATAGACGGATGTAGACGACGCACAGACGCCATTTCCTGAACAGCATGGACCTGTGTGATCAATTCGACGCGCTCATCAATTACGTTCGACAGCCAAAGGGCTCTCCTGCAGGTGATGATTGTTGCAATCACGTGACCGAGGCCGTGATAAATGGACGCACCGGAGCATGATTTTCAAAACAAAGCGATGCATGCCAGAAAAAAGATGCTATCAATCTCGACAGCGTCTCCTAGGCGTCGACAGACATCTAATTAGTTTTCTGAAGAAAACAAACATTGGTGACTTCCTCTCAGCTCACTTCAACCTTCACCCCCCTGCAAGAAACGCTACATTCTCTGAAGAAATCCTGTTTTGTACAAAAGCCTCAACTATGCTATTGCACTATCGTGCCTCCTATTCGATAGTAGCCTGTCGTCACATCGATATCAATGATGTCAGTGACGCCTCAAAAAAGCCATTTTGAAACCCTGGCCAAAGCGAAGTGGATGTAACAACGTCTGCTTCACCATCTCAAGTGGAAGAGGGGAGATCGCGTTTTCCCACGTTCAGCGCGTACGAGCAACGTGCATCTCCTGTGAAACCATCTCTTCAACTGGAAATGGACGTCTTAATTCCAAACACAGTGGAGTTTCTGCTGGAAGTACACATGAAACATGGGAGCAACCTGATGCGTTAGACATGTCGGTTAAACTCAGGGGTGACTACCATGATCTCTACCTAAAGACCGATGTGCACCTTCTTGCAGATGTTTTTGAGAAATTCAGATGCACTGCAATGCTCACGTACGATTTAGATCCGACACACTACTACACCCTGCCTGGATTCGCGTGGGCTCTTCTAAAGCATACAGAGATTTCACTCGCTCTGCTCACTGAGCTTCGGAAGAAGGCCGTCAACGAGTTTGACAAGGACTTCTTCAAACTTATGAACAATATGAACAATGTGTCTGGGAAGACAATGGAGAATGTAAGAAGAAGGATCTCCGTTAAACTACTCCGTGCAGAGGAAGAGGAAGATGTCATCAGAGCTGTGCACCATTCCACAGTAAGCGGTACATCTTAGCCGACGGTGTCAGCACACTTGCGCATGGACACCACCGCATCACACTGCCGGATGACTGAACAGTGATGTGATGTAATGGTGGTGGTGGTGGTGGTTGACAATCACAATTATTCACACCCTGCACCATGTCAATTTATTTCTAATGAGTTATTGATGTTGATGTTATTGTTTTCTACATACCACAGAATAATCTTCTTCTTTTTTTTGTCTAGTTTCCCATAACTAGACTTTTATTTCTAATATACCTAAATATAATTGCTGGAAATACAATCACAGTTGATGATGATGATGATGATGATTTTTTTATTTTTATTTTTTATGAAGCCACTTCTTTGGGCAAACAAAACACAATTTCCCAAGATGAAGGAGTGGAACCCTACACAAATAATAGTTTAAATGAATCCAACGCAAAGATCGTTTTTCCATGAAATACAACAATTGAACACAATTACATGCTTAAAGGCATGAAAGCAACAAAACAACAACAAAAGGGTAAGCGCCATACCAATCCCGCATGCACAGTCAGGACACAGCACGATACTTAACAAACTAGACCTGACTCGGCCACGGCAATCGAGACATCATGAAAACATCTCGCCGGATGGTGGTACCGTGACCGAGCCCCACGTATGCACAACACAGCAGCACGCAGCAAAGCAAAAGACAGCCGACAGCGGAGTAAACCAATGACCTGGGAATAGTGAGATCCCGATGACTCGGCCTGCATCTGGCACAGTCTCTTGAGGAACACATTGCACAGCCTCCCACAACCACCTTGCACAGAGAACACGAGAGGTGTGAAAGCGGCTCTTTCTACATTTGTGACTCTTGGCCCATATTCGTTCCACTTACGCCGCTCGTGCTGCTGGTACAATGCAGGAAGGGTTCTGGACCCGTAGGAAGGAGCATCTGGGCAAAATACCCTTACATCAAAAAAAGCTTCCTCCCCACGGGTCCAAAACCCTCGAGCGGCTATGTCCAGGCGCGCATCCTCTCGGCGGTTCGTTGACCGAAGAGGAAACCTCTCACCAGAAAGAGGTTGCAGCGCTGGTTCTGTCGAAACGGCAGTGCAGACTTCAGTCAATTCCCTCGCCAGCAGGTCACGTATCTCGTTATGACGAAGTGTCGGGAAGCCGCCCCTGGCGCAACATAGCTGATGCTCAACTGAGAACAGCTCACCACACACACACAGGTTGCTGGTGTATTGGCTAGCGGCCATGCATATCTCAATGCCAGAGCATCCCGGAAGTCACGCTTGGTGAGACGAAAGCCATGCTCCGCCAGGGGCAGCACGCTCAGCCATGAGGATGATCCTTTCTCCGTGTGTTCTTCTATTCGTCGCTTCGTCATCTCATCGCTCGTGTCCACTATTTTGTTCCTGGCTGCCTTTGCGCGCTCCCGGTTTTCGGTGTGGACGACACGTTTTTTGTGACGCATTTCATCGATCATCCATGATGATGATGATGATGATGATGATGATGATGATTGTGGAATGAATACGGAGCACCGCGCTGGTGGCGGCCAGGTGGATGTGGAATCAACCGCTCAGGCTAGGTCGAGGCCTATCCCCAGCCCAGCGGATGCCGGTAGTGGAGTTGCGAGCGTAGCCAGGGATCCGTTTTCCGCGAGAATCATTGATGCCTACGAGGTCGTGGTAGGCTGGAGACGCAATCTGTTCATTATACCCCATGGATCCGCTGGTGCAGCCTTTGTTGACGAGCTCGCGTCTTTGATCCTTGGGTTTGCGGATGACTCCGGTAAAAGAGATGTCGCATGGAGAGCTGTGTGCGTTGCTTGTCACCTTCTCTTGCAAAAACCACACAAATCAAAGATCATGAAAAACCATAGTGAGCATCTTCGCAGACGTCTCGTGCTGTGGAGAGATTGCGACATTCCACAGTTACTGAGCGAGTGCCTTTGTATCCAGGCGCACTTGCCGGCGCCGGGCGGTGGCTCTCCCAGGCCCGCCTCACAGGAGAAGAGTGACGTGGTGTTCGCTAATCTCGTTTTTAACGGAAAGATTTCTTCTGCTGTTCGCTACCTGGCGCCAAACGCTTCTGGTGGAGTCCTTTCCATGAACGACATTGTGGATGATACCACGGGAGAGACGGTCCGTGACGCCCTGTTGAAAAAGCATCCGCCATCTGTTACACCGCCTGCCTCGGCTCTCTTGCCGGGTGATCCCGAGATTGTCAACCAGGTCATCTTTCAACAAATAACCCCTGAGCTAATAAAGAAAATCGGTCGAGGCATGCAGGGTTCCTCTGGACCGTCTGGCGTGGACGCTGAGGCGTGGTGCCGAATGCTGACGTGCTATGACGCCTCGTCAAGGCGTTTGTGTTCATCCCTTGCTGCCGCGGGGAGGTGCATATGTACCGAGCGCCTTGCCGGTTGCGCGATGATTGGATTTACATCCGCTCGCCTAATACCCCTCGATAAGAAACCTGGCGTGCGCCCCATCGCTGTGGGCGAAGTGTACCGACGTATCATTGGTCGTGCCGTGATGTCAGTAGTGGAAAGTGATGTGCTGAGTGTAACAGCTCCTGTCCAACTCTGTGTGGGCGTTCCATCTGCCTGCGAAGCCGCCGTACACACAATGTCCCGTCTGTTCGCTGGCCCGGGGGTTGAGGGTGTATTGCTTGTGGACGCCTCCAATGCATTTAATGCATTGAATAGGCAGGCTGCGCTACACAACATTCCACGTCTCTGCCCCCCGCTTGCAACGGTGTTTCGTAACACGTATGGATCCGTTTCCCGCCTGTTTGTGTCTGGTGGAGGTGAAATCGAATCGCGTGAAGGCACGGCTCAGGGCGACCCACTGGCTATGGCAGCCTATGCTGTGGCGATCATGCCACTGGTCAGGCACCTGGCTGCGACATGCCCCAGTGTTGTCCAATCTTGGTTCGCGGATGATGACTCGGGTGCAGGTCTTCTGGCTCGCCTTCGGAATTACTGGGATGAACTCCGGGCCATTGGCCCTGGTTATGGTTACTACCCGAACGCGTCCAAAACTGTTCTGATCACAAAGCCAGAGCATCTGGATAGGGCCAGGGAAATCTTCTTCGACAGTGGCATCCAGATTACCGCCGCTGGCGGCCGATTCCTCGGGGGCGCACTAGGGTCAGAAGATTTCTGCCGCTCTTATATGGGGCAGTTGGCGGATAGATGGGCTGGTGACCTGCGCACCTTGTGTGAGATCGCCCAGACTCAACCTCATGCGGCGTATACCGTCTTCTCCAAGGCCCTGTCATCACGGTGGACTTACCACTTGCGCTCAATGCCGTTCTCGACAGGCGTTTTGGAGGCCTTGGATGAGATCCTCAGTGACCATTTCCTGCCGGCTTTGCTGGGTCATGGAATTGCGCAGGCCAGCCACCAACGTCGGCTAATGGCTTTGCCTGTCCGACATGGGGGCCTCGCCGTCCCCATATTGTCGAAGACGGCGGCTGGGGAACATCAGGCCTCTGTCAGTGCCACTGATCCTCTGGTTCAGCTTGCGCTATCATCGCCTTCGCCTGACTGTGCTGGTGCGTCACTGCCTCCGCCTGCGGGACCGCCTCTGCGTCATCTTAACCAACCACCTATGGGACCACCCCCGCATCATTGTGCTAATATGTCACCGCCTCT